GGGGGCCGGAGCGGCGCCCCCGCCGCCCGCGCGGGGTCTCCCCCATGGTGCAGCGGGGTTCGGGATGTCGAAGACGCTGAAGAAGAAGAAGCACTGGCTCAGCAAGGTGCAGGAGTGCGCGGTGTCCTGGACCGGGCCCCCGGGCGACTTGGGCGCCGAGATCCGGGGCGGCGCGGAGCGCGGCGAGTTCCCCTACCTGGGGCGGCTCCGCGAGGAGCCGGGCGGGGGCACCTGCTGCGTCGTCTCCGGCAAGGCGCCCAGCCCCGGGGATGTGCTGCTGGAGGTGAACGGGACGCCTGTCAGCGGGCTCACCCACCGGGACACCCTGGCTGTCATCCGCCACTTCCGCGAGCCCATCCGTCTCAAGACTGTGAAACCAGGTGAGCCGGCGCTGCCTTTCCGTCTCCGGGGTCGGGGGCGGTCCGGTGGGCGTCCTGGAGCGGCGGCCCCCCAGCCCCCCAGCGCCGGTCCGGGGCGAGGTGCGGTGGCTTGGGTGTGCCGGACTCCCCGGCGGCGGCGGGTGCCCATTCTGCGGGCGGGAAGACTGACCTCTGCCTCCGCGGTGCAGCTCCACAGGCTGTCAGGGAACTGCGGCCCGGGGCCGGGCTCCCCGAATGTGTAGCTCGCTCTTCCCCTGCGGAGTTCTTAACTTGCCTGTTCGCCTTTGTAGAAAGGGTCTTTGGAACGGTCACGCGTTTTTCATAAGGAGACAGGTTTTTACCGTGGAGGCATTGGAGGCACAGTGTGCCTGGAGGGCTCAGCTGCCTGTTTGTTGCACGCGAGCTCGGAGCGACCGCCTAACTCTTCCAGTCCAGGTGGCTCAGGCGCCTGGGTACCGACGGTGTGCAGTCGGTGGTAGGAGGCAGGGAGCTGTTGAGCAGTCTGGGTTGCGAAGGAGGACTTGGAGTATAAAAGCTCTTGTAAGTCTTTGGTTTTTCAGGATTTTGTTGAAGTGGTGGGTAAAAGGGCCGCGGTTGCCGTGGTGTCTATCCCGCTAGTACGATCTGCAGCAAAGCATGGTACGTTTATAGCATACTTTGTTGCCCGTTCTAGAGCATTGATCAGACGGCATACGGTGAAACCTGATAGTATGTTATGATCTTCTTGTGCTTGTTATCGACAACAGTGGTCATTGGTCATTTCAGCACTAGTAGAATGTGGTTTTGTTTTCTGAGCCGTTCGAAGGAGGGATGGTGTTACAGAAATCGAGCTAATTTTGCTGAATACATAGTGCATGAAAATACAACGTCCTGCTTATCTGTGACTTGCTAGAGAAATCAGTCCATCTCTCCACCGAAAAATGCTAGAAAATTCTGGAGAAAATTTAACCGCGATCTTCGCAGCCCACTTTGGAAATAGCTTTGTAATACTCTTTGGGCTTAATCAGAACTGATGGTTTGTGGTGCAGTATGCATATGTGTGTATGCTCACACACACATATGTCCTTGCAGTCTTAAATCAGGCTATTTTTGTGTAGTCTATTCCATCATATTCATTTTAAGCTTATGGTTTTGTGTGAGGTTTTCTTATTACTAATTTTAAAAACTTTTGGCAGACTGCAAACATCTTTTGTATATGGTTTGTGAATTTGACATTTCTCAACTTTTGGGGTCATGTGGAGGGTAGAAGAAAAGCTTTGGGTTGTAATTCAGTTCAGGCGCTGTAATATACAAATGCACGCATAGTACTTATGGCTTATGGTGTAGATGCCTTTTAGTTCAAATCCCATGAGTCAGAATCGTGAAAACATTTGCATCATTGCTTTTGTGTTTTGTTTTGCTTAGTGGGACATAGGTGAGAATATAACTTTTATTTTCAAAAAGTTGAAAGATTGAGAAAGTTGATATTCAAAAGTTTTGTCTATTTGATAATCTCAAATTGTTTTAACTATTGGTTAAAATAAAAGGGCTAGCTTATATTAGCATCTTAATAGCTTGTTAGGCATTTTAAACTGCTTTCTTAAATGACTGCTTAAACAATTATAGAACAAAACCTTTGCTATTTTGTTAATAAGTATGAGACTTAAAAATTAAAATAAGGATCTGAGTAGACATTATTCATAGAACTTTCGGTGTGATTAAAACAGCATAACAACTCCAAAGGAGAAAAAGATTCAATACTCTAGGGATTAATTTTGAAAATACAAAAGTACAGGGTAAGGAATTTATAAAGGTATTTGCTCTGTACATTCTTAAAAATTATCTGAACTTTGTGACAGAAATGGATTTTTTGATATATTAAAGCATTGTAAAGTGTATTTAGCCTGTTTCTTGTTTTGATGAGTAGCTGTTAAATATATTCATAACTTGTCATTTGGAAAGTAGCACAATGCAAAAGTAGTTGAACCATTTCTCTAAGACGTAGTAGTAGCTGGACTATAAAGATAAGGCGAAGGCGCTGGTCTGTCTAAGGGAAGCCCAGCCAGAGCCAGCACTTTCAGTCAGGTGACTTAAGGAAGGAAGGTTCTTTCTGGCAGCGACCATCTTTAACTTTGATGGTGGGGTTTTAAAATAACCTTTATGGAGATTTGAAAATAACTCACTCAATATGGCTCCTAACCTAGGACTTGTCCTGAAAGAATCTGATAATTTCTTGTTGCTTTAGTATAAATGTACTTACCCGTCAAGGCTTTCTTGCTGCTCGGAGAAGCTTTAGTTCTGCTTATTGCTTGACCCAACTAGTCATGTGTTTCTTACTTGCACCCTGTCATTTTTTGCACAGAAGTTTTCACTTGAACTTAGTAAGTTTCCTAGTAGGATAGGAAGGTGAACTTTAGACTGCAGGTGAAGTGGTATTATGATTCGGGCCTGTTACCAGGATGAATTACTTCTGTTTTACATCAGAGCATATTTTAAAACAATTTTTATTCTGATTAATGGTAGTAGTTACTTTGTTCTAAAATGTCCCAGACTGTGAATGTTCAGAATTTTATGGAATAGTTACTTCATATACTTATAACAGTGATTGCAAATTACATAGGTTTTATTACAGATATTCATGCAATAAATATATGAAATCACAGTCTACTGTTTTATTATATGCATTCTGCAGCAAGCTACCCTAAATTTGGTACTATTTCTAGAGATGGAAATCATGAGGAATAATGTTACAGTTTGTTTAATTAACATTAAACAAGATCTCTCAAAGTAGTTTTTGTTTAAAGTCTTCACCAGACTTCACCAGACATCTGATGTATAAGGGAATTTGTTAAAGTGAGCACATTACCAGAAATAACATTTCCCCTTGGTGAAGAAACATCATAGCAGCTTTTAAGTAAGGATGTTTATGTTATACAGATACTGAATAAGGCTGTCCCTTTGTTCTCTTAACTCTTGGATCTTTCTGATAGTGTTTTTTACAATTTTTTTTTTGTTTAGTGGATAATTTGGGACTTACAGTGAGTTTCATTTGGGTGGTTGTAATATTTGAGGAAAGAAAAGTTGAACGAGATTATATTTCATTGCTAGTTTTCCTCGCTTGCAATGCAGTAAATTTCTCATTATCTGACTTTAAACAGTTGAATAGAGGTTGAGTGAGGAAGCCCATTTGTTAGGGAAAATAGCATCAAATTTTAATAAGTCTTAAACTTGAAGTGTTCCTGCATTTTTCAAATAAGGTAGTAGTTTTGGGTTCAAGTTGGTCTTAGTAAGTCAAAGTTGGGGTTCTGAACTGTGTAGTGTTACTTCAGTTCCTAAAGAGTAGTGGGTTTATCCTGCAGTGGCAGAACCAACCAATCCTCACTGGTCCTTGCGGTTTCGGGGTCCTTTTTATTTTACTCAGTTTAATGGCAGAACTGATGGTCATGGAACACAAATTGTTTTTTACCTGAGCTCTACAGGTGTACTTCATAAAACCTCTTGTTATCTTTTTCTCTCCCTGGTCTCTAATTTAGGTAAATTGATGGTAAAACAAATCGGTATTTATTCACCTAATCTGCCTTAGGAAGTCGGGGCATAATCTTCTTGGATGAATAGTTTGATAGATAATCTCTTCTGATCCTTCAGTGCTTTCCAAGTTTTGTGGGTACTTAGTGTTTGGGGAGCATGTGTCCACATAATTTTGTTTCTATGAACCACTTCAATGTTACCTACCGATTTCACACCTGCGAACTTTCCAGTCCACTTTTGGTTGGTTGTTGTTTGACACAGGCTACTTAGTTCTGGTCTTCAATACCAAATTATGTCTCCTTTAAGTATTTTATTTCTCATATTTTGAGAAGCAATTTCCTACACTTTGACTAGAACAAATACTCTTTATTTAAGCCCTTCCTAAGATAAGATTTTCAGTCGTTGGAGAGGCTGCAGGTGTGTGGGGCTGGTTTGTGGGGGCAGAGGTATGAGTGTATTATTGTACCTTCTTGGACAAAGGTTATTCAGAGTGTTTATCCTGAAAAGGTGCTTATTTTACTTCATAAAGAGAAAAGAAAATGTTCAATTACACATTTCATTTCTCCACAAACATTTAGTACTGCAGCTTTCTTGAGAGCTAGCAAAAATATAAATCAGAAATGGCCTATTGGCCAGTAGCTCATAGTTCAGTGGGAGCTGAGTGACTCATGGTGAGGAATACCTGCAGTGTGGGTGTTACCTTTTTTCACCTTTCTCCCAGCACTTAAATTCTTTAGATAAGTTTCAGTATGAATTTTCATGGAAGCTAAATGGATGGGCTAGAAATGCTGTTCTAGAAAGCTGTGTGGCAATGCATCTTAGAGATTTGGGTTCTAAAGTCATTACAAAAAACAAAACAAAACAAAACAAAAAAACAAAAGAGCAGGCAGTAAACAAAATTATCTTGAGAGGTCCTTCAATATTAGCCTTTAAAATATACTGTGTTTGTGCTTTATTTAACAGTGTATTTGTATCATCCCACTTTTAGGATGAGTTCTTGCCACTTGCACTAGTGTTAAGCCAATTGCTATCACTTGGTTGGGTACCAGATGAAATGGTTTGCTTCCATTAAAGTGATAGCTGGGGTTTTATGTTGAAATATCTTTGGATTCTAAGAAATTATCCTCAACTGTGTGTACAAAGTGAATTTGCAGAAGCTAAATGTATCTGTGAGGTTAAAGAAGGATTTTTTTGATGTCTAATTTAGAACCCTTACCACTTCTGCCCGCCCTTTCTGCTTTGGCAGGCAAGGGAGGAATTGTGGCGAGTCATGAAGTTGGCCTGGCTTCGCAAGGTGGTTAGGTTTGGTTGGGTGGGATGGGCTCCTCAGGCTGAGTGCTAGCAGGAGGAGGCAGCGGCAGCCGTGGTGGGGAGAAGCAGAGGTGGAGGGAAACACAGGGCCAGAAAGTGCCGCTCAAAGAGGTCAACAGGATCATCTTTCTCAATCGTATGTGCAAAATGTTATCAAAGCAAAGTCCACATTATAGAATAAT